TTGGTGGTTGGTGGGTTGGTGGGAAATTTATTATATCATAAATGCATTTATTATGAAATGAGGGCAATTTAGTCAATTTACATGGTAAAATAAGGAGAGAGGCCAGAAAACAGAGGTGGATGGGTCATGAATAAGTAMAAATAAAAAGGGGTCAAAAATCCAGAATAGTTATTGAAAAGAGTCAAAAATCCCAATTACCCGTTTGTTATCCTAATCAAGATAGTGGAGAGGGATAAAAAGGTAATTAAGCCATCGCCCCGTCCCGCCCCAAGGAATCAGCCCTATAAATACGAGTTGCTCAGAACTAGGGTTTCAGCCTTCTTAATCAGCAACTTCACGGCTTCTCTGTACTTCGACAACAATGGTACCACTCAAACCCTAACTCTATTGGAAGATTTATCCATGGATTCTGATAGTTTAATGGCTGATTTCATCCAATTAGGGCTTTTAGATTGTTGAATCGCTGATTTTGAGATGTAGGATGTAAACTTCTTAGAAATATGTACTTATCAGTTTCTTTTCTTTGGTAGAGTTTAAGTGAAATCTCAAATTTTTTGATAGAGTACAAGTAAAATCTTCAATTTCAATTTCTTTGGTAGAGGGTAAGTGAGTCTTCAATTTTTTATTTATTTTTTTTTTTTTTTGGGTAAGAGTACGAGTGAAGTCTTCATTTTCTTTGGTAGAGTACGAGTAAAATCTTCAATTCCTAATCTTCGACTTTTTGGTAGAGTAAAAGTGGGATCTTCAATTTCTTGTGGAGGACAAGTGAATTCATTTTATTTGGTAAAAAATTCTAGTTTTTTCTTTGAACTTAAACTTGATATGGTGGTCAAGGTATTGTGATCCCTCTCATGCCTCTGCTATGATTATTGGTCATCTTGATTTGTCATTGGCTTCTGTTTATCTGTTTTATTGAGTGTTCTGAGTAGGTATATCATTACTCGTTAGATTTTCACTCTATGGAGATTGAAATATGATGTTTCCTTGCTTGAATTTTCTTTTTTTTTTTCTGTTTAGCACCAAGGGGTATATTAAACATTACTGTTTGAGATGTGGATTTTCTTTTTTGTTCTGTGACTGTTGTGTGGTTTCTCTCATTTGTACACGTCTTATATTCTGTGTTTTAGGGTGTGTTTGGTAGAATAAGTGATTTTGAAAAGTAGATTGAAGTATAATTGATTTTTCAAAATCACCATTCAAGTGATACATTAAAGATCAATTTAAATGATTTTAAACTTTCTGGAAATCAATTTTTAAATTTGCCGAACATGATCGATGGAAAGGGAAGTGTTTTTGACAATGGCAAGAGTGATTTTGGGTATCACTCCCAAACACCCTTATTATTATTGGTTCTTGATCCTCTTGTTTTGTATTTCGATGTGCAGCCGAAGCAAATTCACGAGATCAAAGATTTCCTTCTCACTGCCAGAAGGAAGGATGCACGCTCTGTGAAAATCAAGAGGAGCAAAGATGTCGTCAAGTTCAAAGTTCGATGTTCCAAATATCTTTATACTCTGTGTGTTTTTGACTCTGAGAAGGCAGACAAGTTGAAGCAGTCTCTTCCACCAGGTTAACTTTTGATTTACTACAACTGCAACTTTCTTTAGAGTATGATTGGAAGTACTTTTAAATGGTTAAAAGTATTTCACAAAGTATTTTTATATTTGACTGAGCTTTTATCATCTGCTTTATGCAATCCTTTATTTCCTAAAATACGCTTTYCTCACTAACTTCATAGAAATTTTCTCACCACCTTGTTTCTTCTAACTTCTCTCCACATTAGATATGTCCTCACTAGTTTCTCTCTGCTTTGATGTTTTCAAACTAGTTTATCTCTGTAGGGCTTTTCTCGCTAGCTTCTCTCTCTATAGACATTTTCTCGCTAGCTTCTCTAGACGTTTCCTCACTAGCTTCTATGTGCTGTGCATAGACGTTTCCTCACTAGCTTCTATGTGCTGGGTATAGACGTTTCCTCACTGGCATCTATGTGATGTGCATAGACGTTT